CTCTTCCGATCTCCCCAAAACCCCAAAACCCCATATTTCGACAAATCAAGCATTTTTTGAAATTATGTTTTTTTAAAATCAAATTACAAAAAATAAAATTATCTTAAAAGCAGCTTCCAGCTACTAAATTTCTAAATGGTAATGCTTATACTTAATGAAAATTTTTGACTTCATCGATCGGTCAGTTAATTTGTTTGTTCATGGGGATGACACTTGTATCGTTAAGTCCGTTGAGAAATGTATTGTCAGGAGTTGTTTGTAAGGTCCCTGTATGTTATTTATCAATAGATGTGTTAGGAATTGCATAGTTGGGATATTAAACTTAGTTAACTTAGTATCCTGCGGTCTGATTCATCATTGTTGATTGATATTAAGATAACTATACTTAGCTTTACTAGACTCCATAAGGGGACACTTAATTCATACCAATTTAACTCATATTCATTCCAGTCATCATCTATGGATTCATTCCATACATATTACCTACTAAAATAGGAACTGGTGCCTAAATACCTAAAGCTCTCATGATTTATTCGTCTGGGAACTCTTAAATTATACCATTTTCAACAGCTTTTTAGTACAATGAGCCGTGCATTTCGTGCTTGGGTTTTAGTCTCTTACAATTGCTGTATTCGCAGACGCTTTAAGGCTATCCACTTTTGTATTAAAACTTTTTAAACATGCAAAGATAACATCCAAATATAGGCAATCCGATAATAAAAGCTATGAAGCCTACCATGACTCCAGCTATTATACCACCAACCTAATTAGAACCACTAGATTTAGAAGTATAGGTACGAGTTGAATAGACCTTCTTAGTGGTTGTAGTTTTGACGAAGATCAATCCAGCAGAATTAAGCATTTAATATTCCTCATCAGAGAGATAGATTGTGGTGCCCTCTCTTTCAACTCTCCATGTGCCATTGCCTGAGAACGATTAAGTTTGCAAATATCTCTTTGACCTCAAAGGAGGCTCTGCAGCTTAAGTTACGGGTATTTATTAAGCTTGAGTGTTATTTGTAGTTTATGATTTCTTTCTAATGCTTAATTTCTATTAACTGGTTGTAGGAGTGAAAGATTTAAAGTTCAGCGATCTGGATAGAGTCTCACTGGAGCTTTTCACATCAAAATTTTGGTCTTATTGATTATAGCTTAATGTAGACAAAGCCAAAACTATTATAAACATGGAAAACTTTCGTTAATTGAGCCTTAGTTGCATCATTAAATTAATACTAGAGAATACTATAGAATGGATTAATTTTATTCTAAATATAAACTTATTTTGATTAAATAATCCTTTTTAAGTAGAATAAATTCGACCTAGCGGGGTTTTGGGGTTTTGGGGAGATCGGAAGAGCGTCG